ATATATTTATATATATATATTAACACAGTTATCCCTTACAATTGTATTATCATTATTCAGTGCAAAGAGACTATTACTGCACTTTAACTTCTGTATCTTGTATAAATTACTTTTTTCCCTAATTCTTCTGATCTTCCCGACAGTCGCGTGCCTTCCTGGCAGAGTACTACCGTGAGCACAACATGGAGCTGCTGCATCTGCTGAATCGGTTGGGCCAACCGCTGCCGTCCTGGCTCCGCCAAGAACTCCAGAGCACGAGCTGGAGCTGAGGCCACATGCGCTCACACACACAGACAGACAGACACAGGACAGAAAAGCCGGGACTGGAGTCTGTGGATGAGCCAACTGCTTGGCTCTGGATTAGACTGGACTACCTGATCTGGAATCAACAGCAGCACACACTGAATGAGCTACAAGGTTTGAGCCGATGTTACCGGTGCTCCTGGCAAGAAGAAGACAACATGAGGTCTTTCTTTAAACATTGGGCACCGTTGGAGAAGTGGACTCTCCCTCCAACTCCTGATTTGTTGCCAATCTCCCGCGAGCACTGGACCGCCCTCAACCTCAGTGTGTGTGTGTGTTGGACCGGGGTGACATCAGTTTGCTGTGGATCCAGAGGGACTGGGTGACCAGCAGGTTTGAGGCATAAAGACCAGGTCAGACAGCCTTAACGCGAGGAGAGAAAGTCACAGGGCGAGCACGTGTGGATGTGAGTGTACGACTGGATACAGGACTAACATACACAAACACACACACACACACACACACGCCTCACCTCTCCACAAGAATGATTGTAAAGCAGTCGATTTTCAAAAGCAGTTGTATATGTTAGGTGTGAGGGGGAGTGAAATGACCAGCAGCCTGAAGCAGACAGTACAGACAGACAGACAGACGGTCCATATCCTGGTCCAGGTTTCTCTGCCACACACACATTTACCTGCAGGTCTAGCCAACAGTCGGGGTACTGCCTTTTATCCTCAGTTTTCCAGTCTGTTTAATGTCGTCGCAGACATTTTAAAATGGATTTATCTAACATGATGACAGCTCAATGTAAATATCATGTGTTCAGATTTGGTACATGTGGTCCAGGCTCTGCCTCGCACTAACATCCTGTCAGGGAAGCTGTTTTTTCACTGAAGTGAAGATGTTTTTTGAATGATAATGGACTATACTCCACATTGGCAAGTTTCTCCAGTTTTTATTTTGAATTGCTTTGTATTCTTGCTCTTAACCTGCATAGCTTCCATGTTTCAATACTGGAGTGAAGCACACAGCACTGCGGAGCAAAGCTTGATTTAGGACTGGAGTTTGTTATTTGAGCAATGTAGTATTAAAGGTCCAACATTGAGGAGGATCTATTGTCAGAAATGGAATATGTGTGGACCAGTCAGTACCTTTAGCCTACTAATATAGCTGAATTTTCCAAGAAATGAAGTGTTTTTAGTGATGAAAGGAATGTTATTAATGAATGATAATGGTCCATTGTAAATTTGCAGTTTGTCTACAGAGACAAATGTTACCCTTAAACATATGTAAGGTTGGGCGCACAGATTTTTAAATATGTCTTTCTGCCTGGTACATTTCAAACTTCACGTCTCAAGCTGGTGACTCCTGCTGGTTTATAGCCTCCAAGCTGAGATAACACCATCAGGGTTACTTTCTCAGACTTGACAAAGCTGCCCCAGAACCACAGAAGACATACAAATGGTTACAGACACGAGACCAACCACGACTAGCCAATTAAGTATTTGGTCGAAAATGTGCTTTTTATTTACTTTATCATCAATCAAAGTGTTTTTGACTGTGATGAACAGTTAAGCAGTCTTTTTACAGTGATCCTGACAGGATGTGAGCATGCAATACAGTCCTGGACCAGAGCTATATAAACCTAGTGTGGGTTGTGTTTGACTGTGAAAAGGGGAATAAGCAACTCAGTGAGTAAGAGTGCTACACAGAAACATTTAAAGCCTATCACATGTCAAAAATCTTCTAAAAAAACCAACACAGAGTGCTACGCACACACACACACACACACACACACACACACCACCCCACACACCACCCCACACACTCTCAGTTGTCTCCATCCAAGGACAGACACCACGAATGTCATTGGACGAGAGAACAGCCGTCGGAGCCAGTATGGAGATGAATCAGAAGCTGCTGTCTTGTTTTCTGTTTGTTTTGTATAAATGTCAAAAAGGCCAACACTGTATCATCTCTAATAAACACATAGGGAGGTTGGAAATGATGGCTGCTGCCTCTTTATTACCTCACTCACCTTCATGTTACATATGAGAGCCAACAGTGCAATAAAATCACTTGCAGGAAGAGGAAACCCAGGTTCCTTTCAGTATTTACACCCAGTACGGTCAGCAGAACTAATAATAAAAAAGTGATGATGAAAAGGTTTTATTTTCAGGAAAAGAACATAAATTCCAGTCCATATTTTTACCATTCCTGTTCAATATGTGTCATTCCTGCATATTGCATCCTGCATTTTTGTTTGGTACACTCTTCCTATGCAGTAGCATGTAAGCTCACATAGAGCTGCAGTAGGTAAAAATAACTTTTTGCTGAAACCTTCACTATATNNACAGATAATGTGTGAAACAATCAGGTTCCTCTGGCTCCTCCTAGTGCTACTAATGGGATTTGCGAGAGTTCACTAGGCCTGAATGAAAACAACTAATCGGAGCCAAGCACTAGAAGGAGCCAGGGGAAGCCAATTAATCATGTAGCTTTAAAGGGACAGTTCACCCCCAAATCTGAAATACATATTCTTCCTCATACCTGTAGTGTTATTTGTGCAGATTGACTGAGTTTTGTACATATCGGCCGTAGAGATGTCTGCCTTCTGTCCAATATAATGAAACCAGATGGTACTGGGCTTATGGTACATTTGAAACATTTGTAGGAACTATTTTCTTTCCACGTATCATCGCACTGAAGGAAGTGTGCATACAGGATGTTAACATTAACGGCGTCCTCCTCGGCTGAGCTATAACGTTAGCTAGCTTACCTAGCACCACTGAGATGGCTGAAACTGCTCACAACAAGGTCTATGGATTAGCTTGAGTAACCAGGTCATGGTTTCTGGAAAGAGACACTGCTGTTGAGTTTTTTAATGGATTTATTTGGTGCTTTGAGTTTTACAAGCCCAGTGCCACCTGGTTCCATCATATTGAAGGCAGATATATCCAAAACTCAGCAAATCACACCAAAACCATCTAGTTGGATAAATAGCTCTACAGGTAAGAGGAAGAAGATGTGTTTGATGTATTTTGGGTGTAGGGGTGAACTGTCCCTTTAAGTGTTTAGACCCTGAATGTGGGTATTGGTACACTCTCACTGAAGGAAGATAATGAAGACTTTTATAGTCAATCAATTATCAAACTGGGATCACTCTAAATTCAAAATTTGGAGGTTATGCAGTGAGTGTGTTCTTCATCTGCAGGTTGCTGCTGAAAAAACTGGTCTGACAGTGGCTAAAAAGCTCCCCCTTGTGGACAGTCTGCAGCCTGCTCAATGTTAATGTGGGTTTGTGATATTGTGAGGGTCATTTCCAGGAGATTCTTGGCATCGAAAGGGGAGCAGATTACGTGTAGTGGGGTTGATTGGCTGGTGCAGGGTGCAGGCTGCACTGTAAAGCCTGAAGAGGGCAGAGCCTGAACTCTGATGCTGACACTGGTATCAGGAACGCAGAGAGCAGCAATCACAGCGCTGTGGAGATTGGGACGTAATGAAAGAATCTGAGGATTACTGCTCCAAATGCAGAAATATACTTTAATACTTTAAACACACATGAATTGCCAGCAAATAACATTGTACAGAAACACGCACACAGAGCTGCTCCGAGAAAATCTTAGCCTTAATCTGTGCACAGCTGTCAGCCACCACCCACCCAACACTCACACACACACTCACTTACATAGAGACAATAAGATGAATTCTTTATATCCCTACACAAGCACACACACATATATTTGCAGTCCCAGAGAACTCTAATTCTCCACTGGAGGAACTGGGGTCATGAATAATGTTTTCCTGACAATGTACCACAGCCAACCATTCATACACTGGAGTGATCAGCATCGGAAAGTCTTCAAAATGATAACAAATTGAACCTGGTGGTTTAAAAGAAACAATTTTCCATTTAAATGTCTATAGACACTAGGCCTATGTTCTACATGTAGTTCAGATGTGTACTTACAATATCCCAAATGTTTGCAACAAATAGAAACAATGGTTTCAGCAAAGGTGGTAAAGACTACTTCACCACATCATCAAACTTAATCTTTTGTTATAGGTTTGTACATTTAAATTCCTCCTGCCATCTATATTAAGGAAAACCATTCCAGTGTTTCTAGTGCTGGGTTAGAGTGCTATACATGAATATTAATGGGACTAATTTTGGAATAATTTGTCCTAGAAAAGTTCTTGAAACATAATATTACAAAAGAGTGGGAACCCTGTATAAATTAAATAAAAGCACTAGTAATGTATTGGGATGTTAAAAAATAACATAAATAAATAAATATTGTATCACAATTCTTATTTTGTGATATTGTATCGATTCAAACCCCCAACCCCTAGAAAGCAGTGTTGTAAACGTAACCTGAGCGCTATGGCGTTGGATGTTAAAGACTGTGATAAATACAAATGTTAATGTTTTTCTCTGTTTTTATCCATACTGTGGTACGTTCTTTTCCTAAAAAACAGTTTGTAATATATTGAATCATAACCCCTGTACATGATACGTATCAATATTGCCAGATTCTTGCCAATACACAGCACCAGTAATGTGTAAGATTTATAGCCAGAAGTCAATATTGTTGATGTTCTAGGTTGTAAATTTTCATTCAAACTGGGTTCCATGTCACCTGATCATCAGACTGAATTGCCTGAATTTTCATTTTATTTAATGTAAATCACTTAACAAATCTGATGTGTCCGGCGACTCATAGGTCTGTAGGTACTAGTTCTAAAGTAAGAAAACATTTTCAGCCATGTTTCACATTAACAGGAGAGACCAGCTTAGATAACATAGAAGAACAGAGAGACAATGCCAAAGAGCTGAAAATCAGCCAGTCCAAGTGAAAATGTAAAAGCTGAGGCTGCTGAATATGAGTTGCAAGCGGTGTGGGTGTTTGGTGGTTAAAAAGGCCCTTAAAGCAAGGTGAGTCACAGCCCAGAGCCAGAAGTGGATGCTCAAACAAAGGGATCTGTAAGTGTGTAGGGGCTGGTGTGTAGGGGCTGGTGGGGGGTAAAAGCTAACTTCCCAGTTTGGGTTAGAACTTTTGCCAGCGCTCTGTGGTATCTGAGGAGAGGAATGCTACTTGGCTGTAACTCCTGTCTCCTCCAGCTGCCCAGGTGGCTCTGTCTCAGGCAAAGAGGTTGGGTGACTGATTGGAGGAGCAACAGTAGCAATACACCTTTTTCACAGCAGCCATTTTGACATGAAATAGTTGGGTAAACACAGGTGTTAGTAAATATTGCAATAAATTGCAGCTCATCCAGGATTTTATGTCTTTAAGACATGTTTGTAATTTAGATAACTGATTAATTTCATTGGGCTTGATCGATAGATATAACTGCGTATCAGTCAGTGGAACCGGGGCCACTGATTCCAATAAATGTTGCCCCTAAGGGGAAGCATATATAAAGTAAATATATTGGTCAAAGTACAGAACCTTGTGGAACTCCATGACTAACTGTAGTATTTATGGAAGATTCATCGTTAACGTGTACAAACTGCGAACGATCTGATAAGTATGACTTAAACCAGCTTAGTGCAGTTCCTTTAATGCCAATTTGATGCTCAAGTCTCTATGGTCAATGGTGTCAAATGGAGCACTTGTAATAATACAAGTACAGAGACTTTTATGAGCTCCAGATCTTCCAATGCATGTTAAACCACTACGATGCAATTTGGCAGTAATCTGGTGCACCCCTGGTGTAAGCCTTGTACCCCCCCTGGGATATTTGGACTAGCTTCTCACACACATATGTCAGCTTGATACTGTGGTACGTCAACACCTTCTCCAGGTTCCAAATCATTCTCTACCATGTTGCTGTAACTCAGTCAGTACAGAAGAGAGACCCACTAGCACTGCCTCGCATGATAAGAAACCTGGATAACCGGGTTTCTTTAGGGTTTCTTTTAGGCCGCTTGTTATGTTTGGATCATCTCTCTCAACAGTCTCTCCTCATTCATCTCCCAGCTGGTGTGCAACCCTTCATTTTAGCAGGTGACCCTTTACTCTAACATCTGATATAATGGATGGAAGCAAGCAGTAAAACCAAAAATACCCATTCTCTGTTTTTGTTCCCCTATTGTTTCAAATATGGGAACAAAAAAATGGGTAATTTTCCATTTTATTGTTTTGAAGAATAAGAAGCTGAAAACGAAAAATGACCCATTCTCTGTTTTTTGTTTCCCTGTGGTTCCAAATTGCCAAATCGGAAAATGAACTGTTTGGTGTTACCATTTATAAATATGGTAACAAACAAACAGCAATCCATTTTCCATATTTGTTTTTAAATAAAAAGCATAAAACCAAAAACGACCCATTCTCCGGGAATGAGAACGGGCTGTGTACCTCAACGTCGCCTGTGTCATCTGTAGATATAAACAGCTCATTCTAAGGTAACAAAAACATATTTAATAGCCTGCGTTTCAGGATCATCATATTATTCTGTCTTGTATTCATTTGTAAAAATTATTACAAAAGAAATAAATTGGCTCCCATTGTTCCATTAAAGGTCCGTAGGATTTAGTGGCATTTGGCAGTGAAAGTGCAGATTACAAAACCCTCGCTTCGCCCTCACCTTCCAAGTGCAAAGGAGAAACTACAGTGGCCACAAAACACCCCTATCTGGAGCCACTGTTTGGTTTGTCCCTTCTGGGCTATTGTAGAAACATGGCGGTTCAACGTGGCAGACTCCGTAGAAGAGGACCCACTCCCTCTGTAGATAGAAACAGCTCATTCTAAGGTAACAAAAACAAAATGATTCATATATTCCCTCATGAAAACATACCTATGGATATCATATTCTATTCTGCCAATAGATCCTCCTAAATGTTACACACTGGACCTTTAAATAATGTATTGAACATTTTATTTATATTGAACTATGTTTTGTATGTTGGCTACTTGCACAACATACAAAAGTCTTACCATGCTTGAGTCCTATGTAAGACATTTTGGTATCAGATTTTATTTAATATTTAATAGCTTACATTAA